GGCCATGTTCTTACTATAGCGGGCCATGTTCTTACTTTAGCGGGCCATGTCCTTTCACTCCTTTATTCTTCTCATCAGGCTTGTCCTTTCCCTTTGCTTCTGGAAAACTCCTACTTATCCTTTAATCCTCAACTCACAGATCCTTCAAGACACTTCACCAGGCTCTGCTCATTTCAATCTGAAATGGCTCACGTGTTTTCACCTTTTAAAGCGACAGAGCACATCAGCCATAAGGTGGCGGTATAATGCCAGGAAATTGGCCACTTGAAGCAGGCCACCTTTTTGTGGTTTCAGTTTAATTTATATCCTGGCACTGACCTTGGATTGTGGAATTGTAGAGCAAGAAGGAACCAACTCCAGAGTTCGTTTGGTCTGGTTATTTTCCGGAACTGCTCCGCGAAGCCCTAGGAGTTTCTGGGAACTCCATCCTCTGTTTCAACCAGAAAAGCTCTTAGTTTTATTTGCTTTACAGCCAGGGCTTCTAATCTAGTCTAGTTCTCTCATCTTACAAATGGGATACTGGCGCCCAGAGGTGACTTGACAAAGGTAGTAGGGCAGGTTATGGGGAGGAACTCTGAAACCCATATTTTCTAGCACCATCAGTGGTCCCAGGCATTGTGATAGAAACTTGAGAAGAGAGAAGAGTTTGAAGCAAAGAGCATTCTTCTCTTGTCATTTTGATTCCTTTGCAAGTACTCTGTTGGCTATAAACTAATAACACAGAACATAATATATTTTCAAGTGTGTATGTTCTATATTCACCTAAAATTAGCTCTCTAAAGCTAAGGTCTGTGTTTTATTTTTCTCTCTTTATTTTCCATGTATGAATTTCTGCCTCCAGAACTCATTCATCTTCATCAAGCACTTACTGAGGGCCTGTCAAGTGCTTACACAGGGGTTCCATGACTGATCAAGTCTTGGTCCTTGCCTTTGGAAGAAAGCTGGCGGGAGAGAGGGAGAGACAGAATATAGATGGAGAATTTGCAACATAATGGGATAAGTCCAGAGAGCTGTGTGAACACAAAGGAGGAAGCAATGAACTTGAGTCTGAAGTTGCTGGCTTCTATTAGAGCACTCTTCTGCTTGGCTTCATTTGAAGCCTTCAGAAAGTACTCACTCATACATGTTATCGACAACTAAAGTTGTCTTCCAGAAAACAAATACTGTTGTGGGACGAGGTACAATGACATGTTTTCTTCTCAAAACAGAGGAGAAAGGAATTTCTAAAGTAAAGACTATGCTATTCATTTTTATTTTATCTTTGAATAAAGCCACCCAATGTGTCAGTTCTTTTCTCTGGTTGCCCTGTCCTCAGATTACTTTCTATGAAGACAAAAATTTCCAAGGCCGCCACTATGAATGTGACTGCGACTGTGCTGATTTCCACACGTACCTGAATCGCTGCAACTCCATTAGAGTGGAAGGAGGCACCTGGGCTGTGTACGAAAGGCCCAACTTTTCGGGGCACGTGTACATCTTACCTCGGGGCGAGTACCCGGAGTACCAGCGTTGGATGGGCCTCAATGACCGCCTGAGCTCCTGCAGAGCTATCCACCTGGTGAGAATGTGAGGCTTGTAGGCTCCCTCTCGCGCTTGCTCTCTCACTCCCTCGCTCTCTCCTCTTTGTTGCTCTTATGTGAAAGTGTTTTCTTAAGGGTTTTCCAAGTCTTAGTGTTGGCTACGGAGGCTTGAATAAAATCTTAGGGCAGGTCATCACAAGACCGATACACTGATGATTTCCATAGCCCTTTCTCTACCTCTGGAGTATTCTGAGGAATTTTTTTTCTCATTGAGAAAGTCAGATGTCTTAGTCAGCGCACGGTGGGGATGAGAGTTCAGATCATCTAGCTTTGAAGATAGTAGGTTCTGAGCCGTTCTGTTCTCTGAGTCCTTGACCTACTAGTTTCCATAATGGTTTGCTGTGCATTTCTTCCTATGTGTCTTCAGCCTAGTGGAGCCCATTATAAGCTTCAGATCTTTGAGAAAGGGGATTTCACCGGCCAGATGTACGAAACCACTCAAGACTGCCCTTCCACCATGGAGCAGTTTCACATGCGAGAGATCCACTCCTGTAAGGTGCTGGAGGGTGTCTGGATTTTCTATGAGCTGCCCAATTACCGTGGCAGGCAGTACCTCCTGGACAAGACAGAGTACCGGAAGCCCATCGACTGGGGCGCAGCATCCCCAGCCATTCAGTCTTTCCGCCGCATTGTGGAGTGATGATGCGGAAGGAGCCACATGCTTCTTCGTGGGGGCCAAATGCTGGCTGACCTTGTGGTCCAAATAGGCATCGTAAATAAAACAATGGGCTTTTGCATTCCACTGCTGACTGTAATGCCTCCTCTTCAGTACTTTTAGGACCAACAATGTAGCGCCTCCCCCCCACCCCCGGGCAGTTACACGAAGCATCGTTCTTCAGATCACCAGTCTAAATCTTTGTGCCAGACCAAGCGGGGCTGCATTAAAAGTGAGAAAATCAGAGAACCATGTGGTGGTTCTTGTCGCTTATGTTTTGCATGAATTCAACAGCTGTAATAAGAACAGCTGCCGTTTATCGAGTGCCTACATGATCCCATTTTCTATCCACAACAACCCCGTAAGAGAAGTGGTGGATCTGCATGGTACAAATCAGGAGACTGAGGCTCAGGTAAAAAACTTGCCCAAGTGCATCAGCTGATGAGTGGAGGAGCAGGGTTTGATCCAGGATATTTCTCCTTTCAAAGCCCTTGTTCTTTTCTCTCTATTTCCAACTCATTCATTCAACACACATCGGCTGAGGATCTGTGTGCATGATGTAAGTGCAAGACCCTGGCAGTTTTTCAAAAAGGAAAGGACAGGCCCCCTGAAGGTCTGATTGGGAGGCAGAGTACCTATCAAGAAGCACCAGTAGAAAGAGGGCCCTTACTTGAAAAATGTGGCACTATAGTCACCTAAAGTCTCTTGTCTAAGATCCAGACACTTCTGTGCCAGTTAATTCTTGACCTGAAGTTCAGTTTTTCTGTGAAAAGAAAGGCCACATTGAACAGTTTGTCCCCACTTCACAATAAGTAAAATGGGATTTTATCTAGTCTTACTTAATTTGAGTAACTCTTGAGGCTTTTACCTGTTTAATCTTCATGAGGAGAATGATGGAGGAAACACGGCGTCATCAAGAATACTTAGTGAGCGTCCGACTAAACCCGAACTATTCTGAATGCGCCACTGTTTAAAGGAGACAGCAAAACCCATGTCCTCTAGGAGCTTTTCCCAAAAACAACACATTAGAATCACTAAGGAGAGGGCTTGTTCAGGTGCACCAAAACCAAAAACCAAACCCCTTGCCGTTGAGTGGATTCCGACTCATAGCCACCCTCTAGGACAGAGCAGAACTGCCGCATAGGGTTTCCAAGGAGCGGCTGGTGGATTTGAATTGCCGACATTTTGATTAGCAGCCTAACACTTAACCACTACGCCACCAGGGCACACTCCCCTGCAAATATTTTTATTCATTTTCTTATCTTCCCCTGTCTTTTGTTGTTTTGTTTGTCTTGAGTGAGGGGCTTTGAGAAAATTGGGTGGAAGTCAAGCAGGGAGACACACAGGACTGAGGACAAGGAAGGGGAGACTGTGGGCTGTGCTGCCCAGAGCTCTGGCCGAGGGCTGCGTCTGGTCACCTGCCCTGGACCTTGTCACCCTACTGTGAGGCTGACTTTCCTTATCTCCAGAATGAAGGAGTTGAACCAAATGCTCTCTCAAGTCCTATCACCAAAAAAAACCCAAAAACCCATTGTCATAAACTCAATTCCGACTCATAGCGAACACTAATTCTTTGGAAGCCACAAGGAGGACCCCAAAGGACTATCTGATGACCAAAGACTATAGACACTTATTTTTTGAGGCACAGTTTCTAGAAGTGAGCTCAGAGATCCTGACCCATTTTTCGCTGAGGAAACTGAGGCCGTGGTAACAGAGTGAGTAGTTAGCGCCAGTCTCTTCTCGAGTATCAATGGCTGCCATGTTGCAATCCTCGGTGAGTCAGTCAGTCTGTTCCAAACAACCAGAGTAGCAATTTTGGCAGCAGGACAAGCAAACAAGAAGTGTCAGGATGATTAACCACAGTTGCAGAGAAACAAAAGATGGCTTTGGATAGATAAGCCAGAGTTGTCATTTTAGGATGTTACATGCCTCTTGATACATGCTCTGAGGCAGAAAGGTTGTCACCATTCTCCCCAGCTGCAGATGTGTCAATCACCTTGCACCTTAAAGGAGTTTTACGAGCAATTGATGTTAGAGGTCAAAACCATTTTATCTCTTCATCTATCAACCAATCCCAGCTCTTCCAGTAGAACATTCTGCTGTTGGAGCAAGAAGGGGGCACCCCATCCGTCAGCCACACCCAGAACAGCACCTGGGTTGTTATTGAGAGTTGTTTCTCCCTCTACCTGTTGTCGGCTTTTTTGCCCTGGAGTGGAAGCCCAAAGAAAATAGGGCAAGGGCGTACTGAGACCATTTTAGCCCAGTTCCCATCCAAAGGTTCATCTGAGACAAGCTGCTGCTTGAGTATTGCCCAAATGTGGAGCCTACTTCCTCAGAATGCATCATCAGGGGCTCCCATTTAAATGCCTCCAGGGTAGAGTGGCCAGATCAAAGACAGGACAGTATTAGTATATCCCAAGTAGCATAAGTATATCCGTAGCATTACACAGACTTACTAAGAAATTATTTGTCATTTGTCTTAAATTTAACGGGGCAGCCTGTATTTTTATTTGCTAAATTCAACAGCCCTGCTTTAGGGGCAAGGCAGTTTACACACAAGTGACCTGGGGGCTAAAACACAGACAGTGGTGTGAACTGTGGCCTCATAGGCCAGCACCACCCGCAGAAGGATATTTAAATATAATGAGAAAAAAAGAACACTGCAAGCCAACGAAACAGGTCTGCAGCTGAATTTGGCCTATGGACACCAGTTTCCAATCTTTGCTTGTCCAAGGGCTCCCAATATTGAAAGGTGTTTCCTTACATTGCACCCAAATCCGCTCCCTGTAGCTTTCGACCAGCAATACTCGTTCTGCTTTCCAACTATTTCTTCATCCACGAGACAGATTTTAGAGATTGAAAGGTCGCTCCAATTCGCCTCCATGCTCTGATTTCTAGGCCGAACAGCAGCTACTTCAGCGGTTTCTCTCCTGATGTGGTTGGTTCCCGGACTCCTCCCCAGCCTGCTCCTCTCCTCTGTGCGGATTGCCATCTACATTTTTCCCTGTCTTAGCTCTAGTCTGATCGGTGCAGACTACGACTGGAGGATTATGTTCCGTTCTTTGACCCTCTCTTCTTAGACTCAGACAACAGATTAAGTTCTAAGGAGACCCAGCTCTCTTTGTGCCCTTCCACCAGCCCTGATAAGGACCTGACTGTCCCTTCCTAAGAACCAACAAGGGCTAGCGAGTCCCCTTCTTCTCTGGGGAGTTAGGCATAAATGGATTCCAGTGCTGCCATTTCTACAGATTATGTGTAAGTCACAGAATCTAATACGTGTAGTTGTTGTTGTTAGGTGCTGTCAAGTCTATTCTGACTCATAGCAACCCTACGTACCACAAAACAAAACACTGCCCTGTCCTGCATCATCCTCACAATCCTTGTGATGCCTGAGCCCATTGTTGCAGCCACTGTGTCAATCCATCTCATTGAGGGTCTTCCTTTCTTTTGCTGACCCTCTACTTTACTAAGCGTGATGTCCTTCTCCAGGGACTGATCCCTCCTGATAATATGTCCAAAGTCTGTGAGACAAAGTCTTGCCATCCTCGCTTCTAAGGAGCGTTCCAGCTGTACTTCTTCCAAGACAGATTTGTTCTTTCTTCTGGCAGTCCATGGTATATTCAATATTCTTCACCAACACCATAATTCAAAGGCATCAGTTCTTCTTCCGTCTTCCTTATTCATCGTCCAGCTTTCACATGCATATGAAGCTACTGAAAATACCATGGCTTGAGTCAGTCAAGCGCACCTTAGTCCTTCTTAGCTTTTTAACACTTTGAAGAGGTCTTTTGCACCAGATTCGCCCAATGCAATACATAAAACTCTCAATTTCCTTACCTGCAAAACAAAGATAACACCTTCTTTGTGAGCATTAAAATGAGTTCATGTTTGAAAAGTACATAGCATGTACTTTACCACCCTGGTTACCATGATGGTACCGTTTCTTAGTATTAAAATACCTCTGTTACCAACTTTTTTGGTATTTTGTTCATTTTATTCTTTTACTTGTTTAGCATTTTCCTTCTCTTTCTATCCCCCAGTTGTTTTTAGAAAAGCATCTATGTTTTGGCAAATGCTTCCTAGTTGGAAAGAAATATATCAGAAACATCCAAACCATCCCACTGCCTTTAGAAAGAGCCAAATTTTCATTATCACAGGAGTCTGGCCTTCTCTTAGCTCTCTCATAAGCCTGTGGAGTTCTAGCGCCCAACAGTTTTCAAAGTCAGCAGGGTTGTCCCTAGAGTGCACACAAATCCCCCTTGTTGTCTAATTTCTACCCATTTCTTCTGTCTGTACCTCTCAGGAGATGCCAAAACAAACAAACAAAAAACCCAAACCCGTTGCCACTGAGTGGATTTCAGCTCATGGTGACCCATGTATGTCAAAGTAGAACTGTGCTCCACAGGGGTTTCAATGGCTGTTTTTTTGGAAGTAGATCACCAGACCTTTCTTCTGAGGCACTTCCGGGTAGACTCCAACCTCCAACCTTTCGGTGGCATTAATCATTTGCAGCACCTGGGGAGTCCTTAGCAGAGGGCAGTGAATCACCAAACTCTCCTCCCAGCACTTTGGCTGATCAGCCTCTGGCACACACCAGAGAGAAGGATCCCTTGGGGCCCTGACTTCAATGCTAGGGAAGCCTTTCTGTCCACAAGAGGCAGAGTCCACCTCTACCTCTTCTCTCAAGCCTCAGAGTTTAAAATCAGGAAATTTTAGAACTGGAGGTTCTGGAGGCTTTCCCTGATCATGCAACAAGTGGATGAGATAGGGCTTATGAAGCCCAGTTTACAGATGAGGAACGGGGACTCAGAAAGGCGAAATGACTTGTCCAAGGTCACATGGCTAATTAATCCTGGAGACGGTGGTAGAGCCCAGGTTGCTCTGGTTCCTAAGCCTGTGTTCCTTCCAGTGAACCATGTGATTTCTCTTCTCAGACTGCGAGAGACGGAACAGTGTCACCTTGTCAGCCACAGAATGAGCCATTTCTTTCTTTTTTTAAACACCTTTATTAAGATATAATTCGTATGCCATACAATCTACCCAAGGAAAGCATACAATTCCATGGTTTTTAGCGTATTCACAGATGT